TCTGATGAACAACAACCAAAAAACGGTTGATTTATGCCGGGTCGAAATTGAAGCCTGAACGCCGCCGCCGCGAGGACGGCCGGTCGCTCCTCCCTCATGCGTTTCTCCGACGCCGGCCTCTGCCTGAAACATCCACCAACTGCAGACGCGCGCTTAATGACAATCGCAAATCTGAGAAACACTTCCTACAGGCAGACCTAACTTGCCTGCGCAACATAACTTATGCGGAGGAGCTTAATATAAATCTGAATCAGATTTTCTAGCCGGCCAGACACGGGTGTTATTGACTTTCAATGACGACGAAAATAAACAAGTTCCTGCAAACAATTCCTAGAAGTAGACCCATTTGCAGAGCAGATTTTTGCCTAAGTTAAAGGCACCATTTCAAATGGTTCCGAGTTCAGCAATCTGAACAACTGTGCTCTTCATACTCTCTTAGCCGTACATAACGATGACAACAACAACAGTGGTTGTAACCGGCTTGTAGATCCGCCCTTTCAAGCTCCCGCCGATCGTCCCTCCGTGGCAATTTTCTGGTACCTCCATAAGAACGTTGTTAACAGATGTGTTATCGCGGATGCCGTCAGTCGATCACGTTTCACGGTGGCGCTGCATCAGCGACGACGAACTTTGTGGCAAAGTGCTGAGGTTGAACCTTGCGCTCCCTCCGCGATGTCACGAATACAGCGGCGAGAGTTTACGTAGCGTTTTATTGATTTATAACGTCATGAGGTACAACGTCCAAATTCGCACTAATTCGATTAAAGCGACGTTGCTCGATGGGCTGGTCAATTTTTAATGCACAAGAAGCCTTTCCGACGTTTCTGATTGAACGCGTCGCTGTGACAGTGACGCAAGTCACGAAACTGACTGAAAACTCAGCAAACGAGCAAACAGACGATTTCTGACGCTACGTCGCAGCGCGAACGGATAACAATTCCTTCTCGACGAAGTTGTAAAAAATCGATATAATAATTCTATATTTCATTAACTCTGTTTACGGCCAGTGCTGAGTTATTGCGTAATGGAAGATGGCATGTTTTGGCCGTTTGCTTAGCGTCGTACGGAGCCGCTTGCAAAACTGTCATCTTTGAAGGCTGCCGAAGCCTTTATCCTCGTTGTCAAATAGTAGCAACTTACCACTAGGCAGCTTGGATTGGAATTAGACAACTGTTCCCATCCTGGTATCTCCCTCTTTTGTAGTTTCAATAGTGCGCTACAAATGAATACATTCTCCTTCCTGAAAGCAGTCTCGGCTTTCATGCATTTTCTCTTTCTGTAAACAATCATATGGACGTTCTTGCAACTGGCACAATTGTTGATTAGCTTCAAGCTACCAAAATTGCTTCTGTGATTTGAGGCCCGACACCGTGTCGGCGAATTTCATGATCATTTTATAGGGTAAAGAAAGCCTCTTTAGCCTGTTGAATTCTTTGAACTGTCTACCGGGGACCTGGAGGGGGGCTGGCAGCAGTGTTGCGTTGAGGTCGGCTTCGAACGCCCCAGGGTTCGATTCCGTAGGTGGGACAACTCTAAATCGCGAATTCCCATGAACAAGCTGTTTACTCTGCATTTGCTTCGGGGCAACCAGCCGAGGAAACTGGTACAAAGTTGCTGACTTTCGAACAACGGAAACAGTGAGGTGTTATGACGCGGTCATACCAGAATAGGCGAAAGATACGGTCGTGCTCTCTGAAACGAGCGCTTCATAGGGATGTAATTTGCTTGACCCCGCTGACAGACGACTATATGATGCGAGAGTCAGCAATTAGCGTAACTTCATTTTCTGTTTTACCCATCTGGTAGCATTAGCTGAAAGTGCAGTACTACGAGAAAAAATTCGATACGCCGCTGTAAGATCGGACGCCGCAGATGACTCACTTCACTCCAGTGCTTCAGCGCTGACCATATGTGCTACTAAATTAATCGTTTATTATACAATGAGTAGCATACAAAACAAGAGACAATTTTTACAAATGGTGTACCGATAATACGTGTGTGGTGAGGTGAAAGATAAAATGAAAATTAATATAAAAAGAGTGAGGAGTGATGTAGGACGGGAGAAAAAATAAAATAAAACAAAATAGAGAATAAAAATGAAAATAAGAATAATGGGGGAGGGTGAGAAGTGTGAGGAAGGGAGTTAGAGACGGGGAAGGGGAGCTGCTAGGGATTTGCAGTTTGGGAGTCCGCCGGAGGGTCAGGGTTGACAAAGTCTGGGTGCCTTCCCTCCGTTGAGGTGGTATCCCCGTTCCCCTCTTTTTCGATGATCTAACCAGTTACCTTAGCCACGCTACATTAAGGAAGAATGGAACAGAAGAACTGTAAACATGTGTGATGATGCTTGAAAAACCGTCAGTGTCGGTCGGGATAGTGCAAACACAATTTACTCTG